GCCAATAATTCATAACCAGGCCAATAACTTAAAAGGCTAATTTTTTTTTTCTTGGAACACCATTAAATAGCAAATACATAACTACCATAACAAGCCAAGAAAGAGGTCATGGAAGAAAGGAAAAAGATTTATATTTTAGTACTTTTAATGGTAATTTTCTGTTTTCCTTAACACATTTTTCATTTTGCATAGGATCCTGCAAATTCACAGCTGGCCCTGGCTGAGAGGTGTCTTGAAGCTCAGAATCAGTGATGACTGATAAGCTCCTTCCTGAAATACCCATCTAATGGACACTTATTGGGCTTCAACTGTTTGCCAAGCTTTGTGCTAGTTTCCAGGGATAAAAAGTCAGTAAACTTCTTGTATCAGAAAGAATTTCCCTCCTCAAGTAGAGGTGGAGAATATAATTCTGAAACCAGAGCCGAGGGCCTTGCTGTCAGACGTCAGAACCGTCATACTTGTTCTGACAGAAAAGGGGGCTCAGACAGAGAACGCTCTCGACAGTATTTCAAGAACACTTGGAGAAACTGAGGCCTTTGCCTGTTCAAAAGGCTTCACGGTTTGGCTTCCCCAGCTACCGGATCAAACAGGAAATGTCAAGCCTTTCTTTTTATTTAACCTGTTCAGATCGCAGGTAAACAGGACAGCATCAGCGACCCACCCCCCTTTGCTTTTCTCATGTGAGTCTCTAAACACAAGATGCTAACAGAATCTATGTTAGAAAATTATATAAACTCATTTAAAAAAGTGATTTATCTTTTTGGCACTGATGCCCTTAAAAGTGGGTGTTCAGAAATCACAAATGGTGGGAAAACTCAGACGTCAGGGTTCCCGGCTATGAAAGGTTGTCCGTCGGTTGCAAACACTACACAGTTTTGTTTTCTTTTTGCCCCCAACCGCCAGTCTTTAACCCCCCCTGCCCCACTTCGATCCTTTCTGCCTTCCCCTCCCTTTTAACCTCAACCAAGAAGCCTAGTTTATTAGTGTCCACGAATTTTATGATGATTTTGCCCTGTTCAAGCATCTGCTATGTAAATACCCGGAATCTGTCTCTGTCATTCTTGCTCGGGACACATAATGCCCTCAACCCCCCTCCATTTTGCTGTCAACAGGAACATTTCATCTTTCCTCTCGCTGAACGCTATTCCGTTCTGTGGGCAAACCTCACCTTCTTAATCCATCCTCTCTCACTGGGCACTTTGGTTGATAAACTGGTCTTTGGAAAAGAATGCAAATGACATAAACTTGGGTTGTTTTTGATTGGTGTTAAGGAAAAAAAAAAGATTCGTTAGGTAGGCAAAAGGCTGAAGCCCAGTGTAGGGGATCCCCTGTTACCATCAACAAGTCAGGGAATTGCTTTAAAATAGATCAGGGAGCCAGCACCTCTAACTTCCTCAATTTTTAGCTGCTTGGCACTTCTGGCTTCTTATACAAGGAGAGGGAAATTCAGGTGTCAAAATACAGCTGCCTTCTCCGCACCCCCCCCCCCCAGTTGTTTGTAGGGAGTAGAAAAGCATTGGAAGAGAAAAGGGGTGCTTGGCTGGCCTGGAGGCCCCAGAACCAGCAGGGGAGTTGGTGCTGGGACACGAGGGCACAGCACCCCGCCCACCCACCCCCTCGAAAACCCGTCTCAAGCCATCCAGCCCCCTCAGCAGCCAGAGGTGCTCTGTGTACCTCAGTCAGCTCAGCTTTGCAGACACAACTCAGGCACCAGCTGGGAGTTAGTGCATAGAGCATGCCCTTAGTTTCCAAAGCAATAAAAGGGAGCTCTGTGAGGTCACATAAAGGGAGGGAGAGCAGAGCCCAGCGGAGCAGGGCTCCCTGCCTGCAGCAGCCCCTCACTCCTGCCCAGAGTGGCACTGCCGTGCCTCCTTCCCCGAGCTCCTGAGTGGACGAGATTGACACTCAGCTGCCTGCCTGTCTCTGGCTGGGAGAAGCTCCATCTCCTTCCTCAGCTAGATACTTGGAGGTTGAGGGCTGATTCTTGATGTATTTTTCAGGCCTGGGCAGGGGGAGGGGGAGAAATCAAGGCTCGTGGTGTATAGACCTGATGGAGCTGGGGCTCGAGAGCCAGCCAGCGCAGGATGCGGACGAGACTCAAGGTGAGCACGGCTCTCGGCACCCAGGTCTCTGGCTCCACCACCACAGCCTCTGGCCTAATCAAGAGCAAGCAGTGGCTATGTTGTCTTTGTCCTCTCAGACTTAGTAAAGGGAGTGGGCAAAGCCCGGAACAGTCTGGGCCTGGGAGTCTCCGCACCGCCATCTGCACAGGGGTGACAGGAGATGATGGATGTTTACACGGAGCCGACGCGCTGCTGAAAGTACAGGGTGCGGGGCTCTGGGCTCAGGCTCAGTCAGAAGGCTCCTCCTCTCCACTGCCCAGTGCGCCAGAAGAACTGTGCTGATGGGCAGCAATCTCCGGGGGAGGAGGCACCTCTGGGCAGTTTGCGGGAACGGACCCCAGCGGGGACGGTGGGAGACATGGTCACCCTAAATAGACAGCTCTCAGCGATCAGTGTGGGGCTCGTCGGCTTTGCGGGTACCCGGCTGTTCCCCCAGGTCTGGGTTGGGCTGCCTGTGTATCAGAGCTCTACAACCTTCTCATGCAAATATTCAGAGTAACCTTGACCCAGTGCAAGAAGTTTGGTTCCAAGGCCAGCAGAAGCAGTGTGAGGCGTCACCACCCACGTGTCTGGATCGTGGCCCTTGGCTCTCCTTGAGGATGGAGCAGCCGGGTGCACGTTCTGATACAGGGGCTTTCTGGGCCTCTTAGGCTAAGTGGAGTTCCCTTTCCTCAAGGGAACCCTACCTGGGAGCCAAAGATTAACTCCGAGCTGCTGGTGTGAGCGCCTGTGAGTGGGGCCTGGCTGGCCCTCAAAGCTCTCCTGGGAGGAGCAGCGTCCATCCCCCCTTCTTATCTATCTAGTTACCGATACAACTTTTCTAAAGCACCTTCTATGATCTCAGAGCAGGTATCAAGACAAAGGAGCCCCTTTGGCACAAGCTCAGTGTGGAAGGGTGAGTCAGAGGTGAACTCGGGGTGGTGTGCAGGAAAGGAAATGGATCAGGGCCACGGGACCATGGCCAGGAGGTGGCTACTTTAGATAGGGGCTCAGGAAAGGCCTCTCTAGGGAAGTGAAACTTGGGGCTGCGGTCAGAAGGTAATCTGGAAAGATGTTGATTTTAAGCAAGGAGGAAGCTGACCCAAGGAGGTGAAGCGACATGCCCCCTGTCACAGGGTGGGGGGAGTCAAGCCAGGTCTCGACCAGTTTCCTGGCTCCTCAGCCAGGGTTCCTTCCTTTCACGATGTTACCAAAACAGCTACTATGTGCTGTTTCAGCGACAGTGGACACACCTTGCTGTTCAGGCCTTCAGTTGTGACCCCTTCCCACCCCAACTTGGTGGGTCCAGCTTTGGTCCTGTGTCTGGGAGCTCTGTAACCGGAAGACAGAATCCTGCCTTGACATCCCAGACCCAGGCCCTGGGCTGGAGAAGCTTCTCCTTCTTACTTCCCAGGCTGCAAACTGTGGAAAACTTCTTATTGCTTCTACTGGTGGCTTGAGGATAGAGGCGAGGTGATGGGGTTTAAAGCCTCCCAGCTTCCCCTCAGGAAGGTTCTCTGGAAGTCAAGCTGTTCACAGCTACCATTTAAAGCCCACCCAAGCCACTTTCCTCCTGTGTTGCTGAAGGCCCTCGCACAGAAACTTCCACACCAGGCCTGCATGCCCCGCCCACACCAAAGGTCCAAATCACGGCTGGAGGCAGATCTGCCCAGCAGCAGGCAAATGCCAACCCCCCCACCCCCCAAACTAGACAGCTGCAGTGGCCCCTCCCCCCACCCAAGCGCACCTGAACTTCTGACTAAGTCCAGCAAATGCCCTTTGCCCTCGGAGTCCCACTGTGGTCAAGCACTTCTCCAGGTATGGGTGCATGGAGCCTCCTGACCCTTCACAGGGAGACCGGTCACACTGAGCCCTGCTAAAGACAGTGAGTCTAACTCAAGTTCAGGTCTGCAGGCTCCAACTGCAGCTTCTTGTCCTGGGATACAGCTGCTCACAGATGCACACTGACCATCCCGCCTGGCCCAGACCACCTAAGCCTCTCCCTTGCCCTCCATTACCTTACACCCTGAGGGCATGTCGTTTTTCCAGAAGCTGCCTCTTCTCCCCACACCACCCCTGACTCAGTGTGTGTCCATGGGCTGGATCCCTGTGTTCCGCCTACTCCAGACACCCGGGAAGTGCTCCTGTGCCCTCCGGCCTGTCCTATCTGTGGCCAGTTCACACATAGGAGCGTTGCACCTTCAGCGGTGAAACTGGCACAGTACCCTTTCCATACGTGCCAGCCAAGTGCAGGTGCAGGAAGGGCAGGAAGCCCAGGGGAGGCCACCTGCAGGCCTGAGCTGGCACAAACACACAGGTGTGCTGGAGACTCGATGGACAGCCTGGCACTGGCCACCAGATCTGCTGAGAACGGCCCTGTGCACACTCTGTAAGGCCAGCCTCCAGGATTAGCAAACCCCGTCTTGCCTGAGGTACCCAGCCCAGGACTGTACAATTCTAGTTGGGGTCACTCTGGACCTGTTACCTCCCACCAATGCTAAGCAGAAGCTACTGGTGCTTAGCATTGGTGGACATTTTGAAGCAGGACAGACAAGCATTGAGTTCGCTGCATTCAGAGGGACTGCTCAGCGGAGGCACCAGTGTGGAGATCAGACAGCAGACAAGGCTCAGCGACCCCCCCCCCCCAACCTCCTGTCCCCCAATGCAAGCAGCTCCATCCTGAGCGCCCCTGGGAGGGGAGGATCTTGCCCCCACCGTTAAGCCAAAATCAGCCTGCCCTGTCCCACCAAGGCCCCGCGTTGCCCTGGATGTGGGGCGCCTCCTTCCCGCGGAAGCCGCCACGAGCGGGGGCCCCTCCTCCCCGCGCCCCGGGCCTGCCAGCCGCGGGCCTCAGCTACCCCTCGCCTTTCTCTGCCGCCCGCCGCCGGCCGCACTTACCCGGCTCGAGACGGCTCGAGACGCAGCGGCGGCGCCCAAGCCTCGCCCAAGCCTCGTAGGGCCACAAGGCGCCTTCGCGGCAGCCCCGCCGCGCTCCTGGCCCTCCCGCGGGGACAGGGTCAGGGTGCGGGAGCCCCGATCGCAGCCCAGCGCCCACGAGCACTTCCTGCCGGCCGGCGCCTCCCCCGCCCCGCCTCCCTGCGCGAGCGCCCACCCGCCCCTGCTCGCCCCTCCAAATCCCGGCTCTCTCCCAGCCTGGCCAGCACGGAGGCCTCGCCCAGAAGCCCCAGGAGCCGAGCAGCGAGCTCTTTGTTCCGAGTTTGCCTTTCTTCCATTCAGAGCACAGACAGCGCTGTAAGTGGGAGCTGGGGCCGCTGTGCGGTCGCCTCCGTGTGAGGAGGGGCTGGGGAGCAGCCAGCGAGCGGCTCACAGACCTCTCTGTCCCTCCTCCCCCCAGGCCACCCCTACCGCCTCCTATACCCCCCCTCCCCCCCGGCCACCACCACCTCTGACCTCTCTCAGGCCCCCTGTGTGGCTCCCCAGGGAAGGAGAAATCCACAGGGTCCCGGGAGAAGTCCCTGGGGACTGGAGGGGGCAGCACAGGGCCATTAGGGAGCCCCTCCATTACAAAGGCCTCCCTTCTCCCCATGTCCCCAGGCCAGGAAGATGCCCCTCACGGCCCTGTCCAGCTGACAGCCCTGAAGACCTTCAGCTGTGCCGCTCCTGGGCGCTGGGAGAGTCCATCCAGATCACTGCCTGGTCTTGGGCACTCATCTGTGCCAGCCCTGCCAGAGCAGGCGCAGGCGCCTGTAGGGGGCGCTCTTCTCACAGTGGGGCGGTGTGATGACCTGCTCTTCCCCAGAGCCAGAGGCCAGTGCTTGCCCAGCCTTGCTCTTTTGAAACTTGGCTGCAGGGAACGCGGTTACCCATTGACCAGGCTGTTAGGTCTGGGAGGCGTTGGAAGAAGGGCACGGGCGTGGAGCACCAGCAGGTCAACTTCCCGAGGCTGCCAGACCAGGACTGGGGGAGTAGGCGGGGGTCTGGGGAGGATGTGGCTGCTCGAGTCCCAGGCAGAGGGACACCGGAAGTGGGGAGCTGCAGGACTCCAAGGTGCCAGGAGTGGACACTGTCCTGACCATGTAGTGAGGCCGAGGAAGGAGAGGGGAGGGGAGCGAGGCCCTCCAGAGAAGACGCTGGCTTCTGCTGAGGCAGTTGCAGAAAGCAGGGATTGTCAGGAGGAGAGACAAGATGGAGAAGTGGGAGCAAGAGGAGAATGTTAGGCAGAATACGGGTTTTCCAAAGACAGTAGACGAGTGAAGGGGGAAGTGTGAGGTAGGTGGGGATAGAGGCGACTAAAGTGAGTGATATTAAAACAGTAGTCCTCCCTGTGGCACAGCGGAATAAAGCACAGCACTGCAAGCCAGCCACCGCCGCTTCAGTCCCCAGCCCCGGGGGTGACCCACATGGCACAGCAGACCTCTCCTGACCCGCCCGCGGCTCCCCTCAGCAGTGTACTTCCTCGGTCTGCCTGTTCTGCTCCCCACTCTGTCTCTGGTGAATCCTCTCATCCCCCTGCACCTCTAGCCTAGGAAAGTGAAGCTTGGATATTCGGGAGGAATCTTGGAGCAATATGAGAAGGCAAGTGAATCTCTAGACCAGAACATCTCCTTTCAGCACTATCCCACGTGAAGTTAAACACAGACTGAAAACAATAGCTATCTAATATGCAATTTAAAATTTCCCAGTGGCCACATTTGAAAATGTAAAAAGAAAAACAGGTGAACTGAATTTAATGAATCACTTTATGTCACACAATAGATCTAAAATATGATCATTTCAACTTGCATCAAAATAAAATTGATGAGCTATTTTGCATTTCCTTGCTTCTAAGTCTCCCACTCTGGTGTATGCTTTCTACTCCCAGAACATTTACGTACAGGCACCAGCTTTTCACTGGAAAAGCTATCGGTATTTAGATTTCATGGTATTAAAAAAATTTATTTATTTATGCATACAAGAACTGGGGTACAGGCCGGAGGAGTGAGAAGATTCACCAGGGACAGAGTGGAGAGCAGAACAGCAGGTGAGACGGGAGAGGTCTGCCATGCCTTATGGGCCAGCTCCCTGGCCAGGGATTGAACTTACACTGCAGTGGCTGCAGATTGCTTCATCGTGCTTTGACTTAACCCCTTGCACAGCCAGGGAGGCCCAATTTCATAGCACTTATGGTTGAAGAAGCAGACTTGTAAGGGGCTTCAGTCCCTGGCTCTGCACCCCTCCTCCAGGCTGCAGGCTGTGCGTCCTTTCTTCCATGGGACGCTATGTTTACATGCCCCAGCTATGTTTACAATGGCACTCTGGCACTTTCTGCCTGTCTTATCTTTCATAGGGAAATCCACCACGGAATTCAGGAGTGAAGGAATTTGTAGAGACTCCTTTAGAGAAATAAAACAACAATAAAACCACACACACATACACACGGCTTCCTTCTTTGGATCTAAACTGGTCTACACCTATTATTTGGAGGTACAGGGTAGGTCTTGTGGGATCCCCTCCATGCATCACAGAACCTGATATCATTGGTTCCCAGCAACCGTATCAATATTCATTCTTATAAATGGAGTCACAGAAAATAACACTTGGGGGTAGATGATGCACACACACACACGCGCACATAGAACTAAAGACTCTGACCTGCTTTTACTGGGTCGTCAGGATATATGGTGCATAACTTGGCACTCAGTTTGTTTCTTGAACCCTCCTGATCCAGAAATGTAACCCAGGCACCGGATGCCCCCACTCCCTGGGCCTATCTAGCGAAGCAATTTCCAGTTACTAGGTTTGTGGGCTGCAGGGGACGGTGAGGGGTCCCTTGACCATCTCTGCTCTGCACCCTGACATTTCTGCTTAGTTAGCTGGCATCCTGCTAGCTGGTCCTTGCATGGACTCTGGTTGGCTTTCCCAGGAAAAGCAGCTGTGTTCTGGAAGGTGCACACCCAGGTGGACACCACACAGACAGTCGGGCTCAATTCCTCCCCATCCTTAAACCAGAGACAAACTCCTTCCCTGACTTCTCCGCCCATGGGAACTATAAGCTAACAGGTCCTGATCAGCAGTGCCGCCTCTACCGGAAAGGCTGGGAGCAGTGAAATGTTACCTGTTGATCAGTGAAAATAGCTTGGATCTGACTCTGGATCTAACTCTGACCTTAATTTCAAGAGACAACTTATTTTTGCTATGATACCAGGCGCTTGATAGGGGGGTGCTAGAAGAATGAGCATGGGGTAGAACCATACAACGTGGGGCGTAATTCCCACGAGAGAGGTTCCCCAGAGGTAGGAGTCTTCCAGCTGTTGTGAGGCATGCTTCCAAGGACACCGAGAACATTAGTTGTACTGATGAGTGCTTGAAATCATTGTTGATCTTTCCTAACAGTGTCAAAAGTGCTGCTCAGACAGCCAACTGCTTGTCACGCTCTCTTGGCATGAAGGACTTTACAGCCTGGTTCTTTCCCAGGAGATCATTATTTAAGGCAAAACATAGAAAAACACATCTAGGCTACAGAAAACAGAAGAACAGACAGCTGAGCAAATACATAAATAACACAAAATGGCACTGAAGTGTTCACAGCTGGAATTTTTTTAGTGCATGTCGCCCTAACTGCTATTTTTCTTTCATCTTCTCTAGGAGGTTTTCTAGAGTCTGCTTCTATAACTGGGCCATGGCTTCCCCAGGGTTGAAGTTCACATGTCAGGGAAGAAGAAAGTCTTTGAATAAACACAGTGAATTCTCCTGGAGCGGCTATGCTATTCAAGATTTATTTTGGAAGAATAAGGTCTTTATTTTCAAAAGGGTAGCGTTGTAGCAAATTCAGTTAATAAAGCACTGAAGAAGAAAGAGGCAAGAAACCACTGAAATCTCACCTCTCAGAGGTAATTGGGATATTATTTGGGCGAATAACCTTTTGATCATGTTTGTGAGTGTGGGCAAGTTTGCATATGTGTATGTGTTTGTAACCAGATTTAGTTTATTTTAGGATATTTTCTGTCATTTTTTATGCCAGTCGATTTAAGAGGACATGAATCATTTTTGATGTAATATATGGATATACCACAATTTATTTCACCAATTTCCTATGATATTTGATTATGATATAATTTAAATATGGTAGATATTGAACTAAAAATTTTATGAGATGGTTATGAAATTTTTTATGTATTTTTGCCTAGTTATTAAACTATTTAGTCATGATAAATTTCTCAAAATGAAGGTGTAGCAATTTTTTTTTATATTGTCATTACCTCTTGATAGCTGCCTGGTTTTGGGGATGCAATTGAAGAAGAATTTGACCAAATCTGTATTACTTTTTTTTTTCACAAGGAGAAAATATCTATGAAACTTAAAATTACTTAAAATTAAGTTTAATAACAACACAAGGATAGGAGAAAGTAGTTATTAACTGTTGATTGTACATTATTGGAAATAAAACTGCTTTCCTCTGCTGGAAAAAATATCAATTTTACGTATATATGTGAAATAAGATATGTTAATTGTAAACGGCTAAACTAAAGGTAATATAACACCTAAAACCTTGATTAATCCAATAAAGTAAGGCCTAGGAACAAGAAAAAAAAAATCAGTAAGTGTAAGACGCATTGGATTTGAAAGTCTCACAGGTAGTTTGGCTTGAGATATTCTCCTTATTACTTCTTCATCAATCCCATTCTTGACCACCCCGTGTTTCCAGCTTGCAGGGCGCATTCTTCTTTGATTTCCAGCCACACAGCTAGATCCATTTCTTTTTCAAAATACAGTTTCTGTTATTTCATGGGACTGATGGTGGGAGGGGGGGGGGAGGAAACTGGTACCCAGTCGCTCTCGGTTCTGTTGCCAGATGTCATTTTTTGTATACTTCTCTCATAATCAGTCACATTACTAATAACTATTTCTATGTTAAGATAATCTCTGATATCTCACTAAGAAAAATGCAAAATATATGTGCATTTTTCCATGACACAGGAACTCTCAAATGAATTATATGGTTGAGGCAGGCTGGTAGAGCTCAGATACCTCCTGTTGTTAGGGTAACTTGAGGACAAAATTTTAAAAGTTCAGCTAAAAAA